TTACGTACATTTTTCCCCGATATTTATTCACATTGACCACCAATAACCGCATGAAACTTCATTGATGTAAATTAATGAATTAAAAAGCAAAAGAAAACCTTATTTGTTACTACATTATCTTCCAATGTTCTCCTGGAAAAATATGTAATGTGTAAATAAATCGAAGAGCAACCCCAAACCCATGTGCATGCAAGGGCCGCCAAGAAACACATTATTTTGGCCCTTTGCTTTTTAATTCATTAATTTATATCAATGAAGTTTCATACGATTATATGTGGTCAATGTGAATAAAAATCGGGGGAAAATGTACGTAAAATAAGGGGGGGGGGGATAGTGATCGGAACTGCTTGATTTATAAATGCGGATGAAGAATTAAAAATAAAAGGTTACGTGATCATGCGGAAAATAAAAAGTCGGGGATCGAACCCGGGACATCAATATCATGGAACCAGTATCTGTGCAGTAGGGCTCCGGGCGCCGCTGATACCCTCAGGCCGATAAAGCGGTACAAGAGGCTGCTTCAGTGTTGCCACGCGCCGCACGACCAAATCACACGCCGAAAACGCAACTTTTGGGAATTTTTTACGCCCTTCCTATTGCGCATTCGGGAAAACGGCTCAAATTGACCTCTAGAATTGGTCCATAGAGTCTGTAAAAAAAAATTCAGCCCAATCGGAGGCGGCAGGTCCGTAAGTTCCCCTTGTAAGTATGCTACAAGGTGAATATTTTTTCGGTAATACCCACACTCCAAAACACTCTTTCGGTTTCTGCTGCTGAAATTCAGCGAAATGCAGTGGGTTTGGCATGATACACTGAGCTTTTGGCAGTTTAATTACAGAATACTACCACCACATCAGGAACTAATACGAAACAATGTTCATTGCTGGTGGTTTTGGTCACTAATTATTATGGCACTCGTATGGACGCCAAAATGAGCATGGTGATAAAAAATTATCAAATTCAATAAATAAATTACTAGTAATATCATCGTGCGAATTAGAACATCCTAATGCGTCAGAACTTCAGCCCAAATTGTTCTCTCCTCTCTCCAACAAAATACTCAATAAAGTACACGAAAACCGCTGGAAATTGATCCTTCAATTAGTGCTTCCAAACTACTGCGTCATGTCATTAAGAACTTATGATCTGAATACGATGGAGGAAGGTGATCAGGTTTCCTCGTAAATAAACATGATGTCCGGAGTCAAATACAGAACCCGGAATGAAATTGGACCGATTGTTTTCCAACTGATGTAAGCGTCACAAACACGATTTCGAGAAAAATGAGAGAGACTGAATTATTCGAATATAGCCGGTTGGTAAAACCCGTAAATTTAAAAGCTTTATTCAGATCTTAAAAATTGATATTCTGTGCTTCAATGCGCTAATGCCGTAATATTGGCGTTGAATTACCGATTTTGAAATTATGGCGCCAAAAAAAAGGTTTCCATTAGGGTGTTTATTCTGATGACAGAAACGTTGTTTCGTGTATGTGCGCTACTTATTCTTACTAGCAAGTACAAGGGAAATACTTAGGTTATAAGGAACTTCATATTAAAAATAAATTTAAAAAAAATAAATAAATAAAAAATTGAAATACCTACACGGCAATTCCGCGAAAAATATGTCTGAGCTAATAACGTCTCAGGGATTCAGCCTTTCGTCTTAAGAACAAAGTTTGAACTTTGAAGTTTATAAAAACACCAACTTCCACGTGTTATTTCCTACTAGATCACTCCGTGGAACTTTTAAAACACCGAGAGAAAAAATAACACGAAAGCTCAGAAAATATGGGAAGTATAACACAAGGAACTAGAGCTTTGGGGCTTTTCTTGGGATTCTCAGTTTTTCTATTTTTTGGGAGCTTTTAGTATACCTTAACTGTGCCTAACACAGATTTATGTTAGTATGTGTTTCACGCTTTTATATTAACCGAAATCAACACAATAGTACTAACAATTTTCTCAGTGCATACGCCTTGTACGCCTACCTAACTTTCGATGACAGGTACCTCAGATTTTACTGAATGGTCTCCGCGAACGGTCGCAGTCACCATGATCAGAAAAAAAACTGGTGATTGATGTGAAACGCCCGAAAAGCTGAAACGTATCGATTGATTCGACAGGGACACTACAAGGAAGGACCTTGTGATCGCGGTGAGAATTAACGGTCTGACAAAATTCAAGGATTTGAGGCAACTGTTTCCCTAGTGCCCGCTGCCACCACCACCGCCGCGCCGTGTGTTAGCGTAGTCGTGGGCGGAGCTCAAGTAGAAAATTCCCGTCAACACATTTTCCGTAGGGAAATAAGTCATTTACGCTGTTGAAACAGGTGGGGAATCGAAAAAAATAAGCGTATAAAACACTAAAGTAGGTTGCCTTGCCGGTGCCATGTCAGCTCGTGCGAAAACCGTTTATGCTGAATGTACC